CGATATCCAGCTGCCGCACCGCCGCTTATGAATTTCACACGAGCGGACGATTATTTTCGCTGGAATTTTCCCGCGAGTACGTAGCCACGTAGCGCGAGGTTCTTCGATCGTGTTTTGTCTGGCCATGAATTGTCTGGCCCAGGCAAAATTTAACACCGACCGATTAATCGTTTCAATTCGAGCACACCGCGCGCGCGCGAATGTTGCGGCGCGAATAACGCGTCATCGCTGCCGCGCCCTCGAAATTCGGAAGCGCGTGCCTTCATCCCTCGTATTTTTTCTCCGCATATTACTGATAGCCGGAAATGTGCAACTGAATCACTTATCAGTCCCGATAAGATAAGGACGGGATTTGCGACGAAACGTGCGTGCAGCTTCGTAGTAGCTTGCTCGCACACGTACGCAGCTTTAATTAACACATAGAAAGAGAGAGAGAGAGAGAGAGAGAGAGAGAGAGAGAGAGAGAGAGAGAGAGTGTGTGTGTTGTCTCTTACCTCGTGCGGCATGCAAGAGGCAATCGAACAGAACGCGCACGGGGAGGGAGCGTCGCGTAAAAATATGAATCGGACGAGCCGCGTTGCAGATAGGGGGGGGGGTGTGTTTACTCTCTGTGTAAAAGCGGCCGTGCGTACACAACGGAACAGCGCACACACGGTGCGGACGATCGATACCGAATGAAACCCAAAGCAGCCCACGACGACACCGCCATTGGTTTACTACTCGTAAAACAAGGCGTCGTTCTAGCTGGGCGGGATGTTAGGGCTCGGGTCACCCCTCCGGAGCCCTCCGGAACCCCGTAAGCTGACTCACGACTACTTCGTTTCCTCCGACTTTCTGCAGGTACGTGGCGCCCGATGCGGCCGATAATCGATACCGGGAATCGCCAGTGACTATTTTGCGCAAAATTAGCAACCCCTCGTCCCGCCGCGCCGCCCGCTCGCCTCAGCTTATCTTTCCCCGCGACGTAGCGACGGCTTTTCCAACGTTGGCTTGAAATTTTAATCGAGCACGCGACAATTACGCCAATCGCTGCAAATGATCGGTACTTTCTTGTGAGAATTATTCCAATTTTCGTAACGACGCGCATTTCCGTTACTTACTCGTCTCTCCCGTAAAGTGCATCTCTTTCTCTCCTGTCTTGTGAAAGTCATTATTATTATTATTTTTAATGACGTTGAATAAAACTAAAAAGAAAAAGTAACGTATCTTTCCAAAAGTCTCGAACGCTCCGGTGGAAATAGGTCGCGCGCGCGCGTTGCTCCGCTGGTAGTTTTGGCGTTAATTATATACGTAGTTCTGCTATTTACCTGAATCTGTGGTTTCTCTTTATTTGCGCTTCGATATCAAATAGCCGCGCTAATCGATTTCCCATTAGCTCCTCGCCTCAGAGTCATTTGACATTCGGCTGCGAGATAAATGAAAAATATTGAAAACGCGTGCGTCGAGTAGCAAAGTATCATTCGTAGAACAAGAGAACGTGTCGGCTTTCCGAGGATTTCAGCCACGCGCCTTTACCCCCGAAGAAGAAGCAGCGACTTATTTTCCTTTCAAATTGCCGCGTCAGGCGTTTCGATCCCTTCCGGCTGGCTGTTCCCCGAAAATCGATTCCCACGTCGAGCTACGGGAACCCCGCGTCCGAGGGGGTGTCGTCTTCTCTCTCTAGTCGAGACGTGGAGGAGGAAGAGATTTCCGAGGACGAAATTCCGCGGGCGTGCCGACGGGATTTTCCGTGGTGCGCCGTGGTTATATCGACGTGAGAAGCCGAGAGAACGGAGGATCCTCCGGATGCTGTAACGGAGTAGACACACACAAAGACGGGGGAATGGCGCGCGGACGTTGTCGCGGGCGAAACGAGGGGAACAAGAAAGTATGCGGTGCCTCGGGAACAATGTCTCGACATCGGGGGCGATGAACAAGCCGATCGTGTCTCATTGGCGTGTAATAACGTCGTAATGAGACTCTCTCAGCCACGACCCGCGTGTATCTCGATGCCGGACAATTTCGACGATCGGTCCGAAAATGAGCGAGACCGTGGGGGGGGGGGGGGGGGAAAGTTACGTCGCGGGTTTAATCGCGCGCGCACAATACTTCCCACAGTGGCGATAATGTATTCAGCGGTAACGAGCTATCGTGAACTCTCGGCGACATCTCGTGTCGCGATTGTGCGCAAAGAAGCAGGAAAAGGGGAGGGGAAAATTAAGATGAATAAAAATATGTCGACGATTATTTTTTATCGCGCGTCTCGCATCTCCGTGACGCACGCGTCCACGTAGGCCGAATTCCTCCTCGCCTGGAAGTAATATATATTCCTCGGTGTGACGATGTCGAAAAAAAAGTTTCCCCTTTACGCTCCTAGAAGTCCAGGTCGTCTAATCTCCTTTCTTCTCTTTTTCCGCTCACTTCCGTTTCTTCTTTGTGCCCTTTCTCTCTCTCTCTCTCTCTCTCTCTCTCTCTCTCTCTCTCTCTCTCTCCCTTGTCTGCCCTCGTTCTCTCTTGGCCTTGTTCCTTTTTTCTTCGCACGCGCGAAGACGATTTCCTTCCGCCGCTCGAAAAGCAGCCCTTGGCTAACCGACCGACGGTTCTATTTCTGAGCACGAACGCTTGAGAGAGATCAATCGTTCTCCCTGGTTCGCACCCGAACGCCCCGAGCGTGGCTACTTCTCCCGAGATGCATTCCGATTGTCAAACGGTCTCTCTTTGGAGTCTCTCTTTACTCCCGCAGCGCAAAGTACCCAGCGCGAGTGTCCAGCCCTCCCCCCCCCCCCCGTCAGCGTGTACACACGCTGTGGCCGTTTCGAAGGCAATTTAATTGAAATAACTCGGAAATAACGGTCCTTTCTCAGCCGGGCTGTTTATGCTCGACTCGGCTCGACATCCTCGTCGCGCGTTTCGATACGGTTCGATCTCGCAAAGGTCAGTCCTCGCTGCTGGTTTAACCGAGGTAGTTTAACGCCCGACCAGGACCAGGAGGGACGAAGGCACTACCGAACGGTCCCTTTGTTGCGAGAGAATGCGTTTTTGTTCTCCGTCGCCAATTTTCCTCCGTCGACCACTCGAGCAGTCTTTGTGTAATGCTCGCGCGCGCACTCCCGTTGCCTCTCTCTCTCTCTCTCTCTCTCTCTCTCTCTCTCTCTCTCTCTCTCTCTCTCTCTCTCTCTCTCTCTCTCTCTCTCTCTCTGTTCCCGCGAGGGCTCGAGTAGTCGGATAATAAATTAATCCTTTCTCCTGGACACACACAGAAATATACACCCTCCCGGTCGCACGAAATCGCGTTTACGCCGGAATAATTCCCGCCACGAAGAACGGAGTTATTGAAAAATGTGTTTACTCTGTTCCTTCAGCTCCCTGCGCCCCCAGGAGAGGTACGTGTATTTATGCGAATTACGCGATACGACGTAGAGCGCAGACGAGAGCTTCGTCGCGCGCGCGCGCGCGCGCTTCTTTTCCTTTTTATTATGTCGGATGTACAGTGATGTTCATTAGTCCCCTATAGGCAGACGACAGTCTCTCGACGGTATTTTCGCTACGATCGTAAAATCGTAAAAGGACGCCTTTGACGGGGCTGGACGCGCGTCGGGATATTAATCAAGCTCGCCGTCGGTATTTATTTTCCGCCGGGAAACAAGGGGGAAATTGCTCGACGCGAGTCCCAAAGCCGAGTGAAACGCGCGACACGTCTCGAAACGGCGAACTTCCCAAGTGATCAGCGGACAATGAAGGGAGTCGTAGCGGGATCGTAAAATCCTCAAGAGGCTCTCTCTTAAGCGGTAATGCAGCGAACGGAACTTTTACGTTCCCTCCATCGCTCGCGGTTTAACTGTTCTGGTATCGAGACGAGTCTTAAAATTACTCCGACAGACGAGAGAGATTAGAGCGCGAGCGAGCGAGCGAGCGAGCGAGAGAGAGAGAGAGAGAGAGAGAGAGAGAGCATTAGATATCGAGGAATGTAATTTTTAGAGACATCGTATTCTCGTATATTCAATCAGAGCGCGCGTCGTTGAGATACGATGTGCATAAATTTATACAATGTTGTATATCTTTCATTAACCGGCGCCGGGAACGAGAGAGAGAGAGAGGGAGAGAGAGAGAGAGAGAGAGAGAGAGAGAGAGAGAGAGAGAGAGAGAGAGAGAGAGGAGGGAGAGATCCCTAGCGCAAGGAAGCCGTGGAAATTGCTCCCCTTTGTCCTGACGTATTAATCACCTTACCGTTCGTTTCGCTTTTCGACTTCAGGGCGAGGGACTTTCGCTCCGCGTCATCGCCGAGCGAAGCTCGGCCGAGCCGGCGCGGATTAACAATTTCCGCTTAATGTGAAAAAGAACGAAACCGCGAAATTTCACGGGTCGCGATAAATTTCCAAGTCAATCAGTAGCGGGATATTTCAGGAATTTAAATATGCCCTTTCGCTCTTCCCCTTCTTTTTCCTGCTGAAGACGAGACTCAGAGACACGAGATCGATTTTATGTTAATCCCGGCGTGTACAAGTTAGTCCGACCCGCGCAAAAATACCCGCCGTTCGGCGTGACAGACGCACAGACAGACGGCTAACGACTCGTTCGCGCGAACATCCGTCTCGTATCTGCTCGTGTGAAGTGAACCGCCCGCGTCGCGATCTCCCATCGGGGTGGGGGGGGGGGGATTTAATATATCGTTTACATAGTTTCTCCGTGCCAAGATTTATCCTCGAGACCGGTCCCGCGTTTGCCTTGGAGCGCGCTCGGCGCGACCGTTCATGCTAATTCCCAATTAATCGCCGCGAGACTGACGCAAGGCGCAGGCGCGTTCGACGGGAGAATCCTTTCGCGAATCGCGAGGCGAGAATCCTTTCGCAACGTAACGTAATATAACGTAATATAACGATAAGAGCCCGTAACATTTAGAGGCGACTTGCGAGAATCGAAGTAATTAACGTTCCCTCCCACCCTCCCCTCCCTCTCTCTCTCTCTCTCTCACTCTTTGTCGTTCTCACAGTCGTCTCCGCGACGTGTTGTGCGTGTTTCAGGTCTCCGCAAGGTGTATCCATATTACTTCACCTTCACGACATTCACGAAAGGTCGATGGGTCGGCGAGAAGATACTGGAGGTCTTCGCGAGGGAATTCCGCGCTCATCCGGCCGAAGAATACGAGAGATGTATTCGCGCCGGCACCCTGACGGTCAACTACCAGAAGGTGGACGTCGACTACAGGTTACGGCACAACGATCTCCTGGCTAACGTCGTCCACAGGTACGTGTGCGCGCCAGGTCACACACTACTCCGTTTCGTTTCCGCGGCGAATCCTCGTCGGCGGGGAGCGGAACGCGAGAAGCTGTATCGCGGTCCGCGTGCGATTGATTTTCGCGAGCCGAGCTCTCGCGTCTCTCTCGTCATCTCGACGCGACGCGGCGGCGGCGTGAAAGCCTCGCGCGAAAGTGCCGCGGCTATTGTGAGAAAGCGGCGCCGAGACTTGCGCAAAGTTTGATTGAGTCGCGGAGATTGACAATATCGAACGCCGCGCCACGTCCAACTATGAAATAACCGAGCGAACCGGCTGCATTCCGCTTCCACTACGATCGTTTGCTGGCAATTTACTCGCGGAAATGTAATCTCGCGGCGCGCAAAAGCGAACGCCCTCCCTGCCTCCTCCCCCATCCGCTCGCACTTCGTGAAACGGACTTTTTCGTCGGCGGACTCTCCGCGTGGGGCGGCGGACTCGGTTGGCTGTCTTTTCCAAATCGACCTTTCGCAACAACGCCACTTTCGCGACAACGGGGCGGGGGGAAGGGGGGGACTCCTCGTTGCCCGCCGGCGAGGGAAGGGCCCGCTCGACGAATTTTTTATCCGCCATCAGATTCCCGCGATACATCCCGCGCTGCTTCCTCGTACAACTCGGGAGCTCTCCTCTCCCTTCTTCGATCGGCCGGTATATTTCGTCCGACGTCAAACGCGAGCTCGACGTGTGTTCGACAGCTGCTGACTCACCGGGGGGGCTCGCCGTATAAATCCGCGGGGTTAGCGGATCTTGGGCAGGAATTTACTTTGATTCCTGAAGAGTCCCGGGAATCTGGCAAGCCCTATAATCGGGCGCGCGTAAATGAGATGGAGTTTAATTTCGGGAATTTCCGGGCTTATCCGCGCTTAAGCTCGTTCCGCCCGCGCAAAACGCAACGTATCATCGCGCGATCGTTGGCGAGAGGATCGCTTGGCCGAGAGGATTGCCATTTCGCGCGCATAGATTTTTAATTATCTTCCCTGCGAGAGACGACACAGCCCCAGCAGCGTGTAATGTTCGCCGGCGTGCGCACACGCGTATTTACGTTGATGCATTACGCTATATTATCGCCTAATGCGGATCAAATTTAGTCGATTTACGCGCTGCGGTGGGAAACGTATGCGTATGGAAAGCGGAGAGCTCGCGCTAAAGCGGCCAATGTCGGATTAGCGCCGGATTACAACGATGCTCGAAACAGAAATCTCAAATGTATAATCCGTGCATAAACGGTTTAACTCGCGCGCGCACGCTAGGGCGCGCAGCCCTTATATTCACCGACGCTAAATCGACGCTTAGCGGCGGCGAGGATCGTCTCTCCCGTAACGTCGCAACGTGTACGAACCGCCTGAAACGTTGCGGAATAACCCGAGATATTCGCCGTCTCATTTCTCGTCGCGCGACTCTGTGCCGTATTTTCTCTCTTTTGACAAGATGGACCGCAAGAGACGCGCGCGCGCGGTCGACCCTCGCACTCGCGATTATCCGTTTTCCTCTCACGAGCTAACGCACGCGCGCGCTCAACAATAGCACGCGCGTACTTGAGAGAGAGAGAGAGAGAGAGAGGGGGGGGGAGGCGTGACGCGACGCGACGCTGGATACAACAAACTCGTAAATCATTGGCCTCTTCTCACGAGAGCGTAGATAAGAGGTGGCCGGTGCGCGGATCCTCGTCCGGAACCACATGGCCGGGACTTGTAATATCCTTGGCACGGATATATAAGAATCTATACGTCGAGAGCTCTCGCGCCACGGCGTTTTGAAACGCGCCAACGCTCAACGAGGCTCGCTATCAACGCGCGCGGTATCGTGCGCGAGCTTCTCGATGCGAGCCGGAAAGAAAGAGAGGATCCGAGGTAGTCTTCCGCTTTCGAGCGTTCGAGATGAAGCGCAGCGGGAAATCCTCGGGATTCCGCGGGCTCGCCGCGGAAGACGGCGAGGAATCTCGCGCTTTTCCAATAGAGAGGAGAGAAGCGGACGTCGCTCTGTGTGTGTGTGTGTGTGTGTGTGTGTGTGTAGCCAGGTGGTCCAGCTGGCTTCAAACCTGGGAGAGATTCGCGCGGTATTCTTTTCGCACGGACACGAGTGCGGGCGCACGTACATATTTGAACGTGCGCGAGTCTCTCGTCGAGACTCGGCGATCGAGTTTCTCTGTGACGGCCGCGAGAGGAGACGTGCACTCTCGCTCGTAAGATTTAATCCGCTCGAGCGCGCGCGAGGGGAATCATCAACGGCGAGTCGCGCGCGCGCGCTGCGCAAATTACATATGGATTCTCCTTGCGCGGAAGCCGGTCTAAATTATTTCGCCTTATGTGCGCCGTATTAATACCCTCCGCGTCCGCTTGCATACTAATCAACCATCAATTGTCCCGGCAACTGTACTTTTCACCTGTGCGCCAAAGTGCGACGCGCGACTGTTCTGTAATCGCGGCAAATTCTCGTCTCGTCGAGTCGTACTCGCGCGATAATTCTCCAAGATCTTTCTTTCCCTTTTCTTCTTCATCTTCGAGAGACTGTGAGGTCGCGCGTGAATATCGATGGCGCTTTTCGACGGGGGAGCAAAGTTAATCGGCCGAAGGCCGTTGAGATAGACATCGCTACGCTTGCTAGTGCGATGAATAATGAGATACATCGCGCGATGACGTCACCGTGCCGGAGATCGGAAAGAAGTGCTTTCGGTAGATAAGGACTCGATGGATTCTCTCGATTACGCGATATCCCGGGCTGCTCAAGGACGCTGCGCGCGACTTTGTTCCCGCGATTAAGACGCTTGAACGTTGAAATGCCAAAAGATCAAAGATTACCCCGCAGACTCGTGCTTACTCGTCGCTCTGGCGAGCTGGCGAGTTGCGAACCGCATTTAATGCTCGCGCGAGCGCGAAAATTGCATGGCTCGTATTTGCATTATCGGCGCAAATAACAATTAAACGGTGCAGCAGTATTTTCGCGCTCTAGTCGTCTGACGACGCGCGCTCCTTGCATAAAGTTACACTCCGAGTGCGGCGAGTGTGTGTGTGTGTGTGTGTGTGTGTGTGTGTGTGTGTGCGCGTAGAGGAGCGCGGCGGAGAAACAACACGCGGCCGGACTGTTACGATAGGCGAACAATTGCCGCGCGGAGATGGATGGAAAGTAAATTGGCGATCTACCTACAACACACAGAGCCGCCGCGCGCACGTTTGCGGTGGTGTAATGTTGATACGTCGTGTATGCGCTGTCGCGCGAGCGTTGCGGCCCACACGCGACGCGTGCGAAAATTCACGCGCGAGCACAGCCATTGTTGCGGCGAAACGATAAAAACGTTTCCCGACGAAACGCGCATTCGGGAGAACACTCGCGCCAGTCGTCGTTTCCTCCTCAATCTGCTCGTCGTCGTCTCTCGCGAGAGGAGTCTCTCGCGCGCGCGAAACAAACGCCCCACTTAGCCTCTCGGTGCTTCTCGCGTCGATTCGCTACTCGCTCTGCCTCGCTCTGCGCTACTTTTGTCCTGTTGTCGCGTATAAGCAAGAGTGATTATATCTCGTCGACGTCTGGCACGTCGATGGCAAGAAGCGCCATCGTGCTTGTTGTCGTCGTCGTCGCGCTCTGAGAAATTAATTATTCAGAACAATAGAACGCTCCTCCTCAGCTGGTACCTCCTCGTGTCTTTCCGCGCGCTGTCGATAATTGTTTGCGGTCCGATCCTGCGCGAAAAATTCGCCGTGACATCACCCGCTCGGATCGCCGCTGCGGCGCGGTCGACGCGGTAGCGGTAGAATTTCTCTCTCCCTCGATCCGCGTCCGTCACGACTCGAGGACGCGAAGAAAAGGCCACGTACGTTTCCCTTGCCGTCCCCCTCGGGCCGAGCGTATCTCCCCCGGCCCGGGGAAGGGCGGGGGGGGGGGAGGGGTTAATACGCGGGTCGGAAAGGAAAGGAAGCGCGTTGGAACGAATCCGATAATCGGCCCGAGGGCGAGAAAGCCGCGTTGGCCGATGTCTCGAAGGACACAGGCATACTCGAAGAGCGCGTTCACACGCGAAGGACGCATCCGTCGCGTTGGCGCAATCGCGCGATACGGCTGGATAACAACGCGACCTTTCGCAATCGCGCCGCCGCGCGTTCGGATATCCATCATTCGCGCGCGTGCGCGCGCGCGGCGCCGACTCGCTTCCCAAAGTTATGCCGGTATGCTAGTGCGACACGCGGTGTTTACGGCGCCATCGGGATCGCCGACGTGCGTCTCGCGTTGCCGGAGACGTGGATTCGTCCTCAACCGGCTGATCTCCGCCTCAATGGTAAGAGCGGTACCTGAGCGCACTCGGAGCAAGAGAGAGAGAGAGAGAGAGAGAGAGAGAGAGAGGGAGAGAGAGAGAAACTGTGTGTTATCGTGCTTCATGCACGGCGTCGTAAAACGCATGTCCTAGATCTAGTCGGATCGTTCTCTCGCGCCGAACGACAAGAAGCCGTCCGCCCCTCCGCCCTCCTCACGCTTGTTAAATGGAACGCAAATTGCGCGGACGTTCGACGATTATCCCGCGACGACGGTCAGAGGCGAATTATTAACTCGTAATTGTTCGCTGGTGAAACGAAGAAACGCTCGCGAGAGGAGGTTTCGCTCGAGCGGACACTTTCGATGTGTCCTCGGAAATATAATGGCCCCGCGCGACACGAGCTTCTCCTCCGCGATCTGGCGCGGCGGGCGGAGCGGACGTTTCGACGGGACGAGACGAGAGAGATGCGACGAGATATATTCTTCCAGTTCCATTTTTCAATTAATGTCCCGATGTCCGCGGTACTCGGCCGTCGATCGATGCTGCGGAATCACCCCGTCGCGAAAGACCCTTTGGAGAAAACTCGTGGGCGTGACGCGAGAGCGTCTCTCTTCGCTGTGTGCCGGCCGTCGTTCCAGGATCTCTCGTCCTACCTGGGGCGTTCCAGGAGGTACGTCGTAGTTCGTGTCCCTCCGGTGACGCGGGAAATTGGGTAGGATGATTCAATTA